TAACGAGCTGCCTACGTACCCTGTTTTAGGGATCAAGCCTGGACGTAGTTCGATGTTAAGTTGTTCTCTATTTCGAGTCGTTTTCTGTAGAGAAATGACCACGAAAAGAGCTAAGGGGATGTGAAGATGACGATAAGTCTTAGGTTATCGGAGTGATCCGAAGGTAAAAGACTATGTCGAACTTCTGCCGGAAGTGATTTCCGGCTAGAAAGATCAGGGCTTTCTAAGGTTATCTCGAAGATCAAGGATAAGATCGACGAGAAAAGATATGAGAGTATCTCAAGACGAAGAAGAAGAACTTCACTCTGTTTCTGCTGTGAAAAGATGATGAGAAGAACTTGTGTAGTGATTTTCGATCAAAAGAAGTCTGTGTGTCCAAAAGAACATTCTCTGGCTTGTGATCAAGAATCGTCCTCTTTTTATAGCACCGAAGTGGATCGTAATCTCCTCCGCGTATCTCGTCCACGTGCAACTACCGATCCCGCTATTTTCGGATCTAAACGGTCGAAGCGAGATTCTCGTTTGACTCGTTCAAACTCGGCTTGCGGACTTGACTCCGTCGAGCTAGAGCTCGACTTCGTCTTCACAAGTAGCTCGGACAGTAAACAGCTGGATTTGGACAAAGATACTTGGTGGGCTCGAGGTCATTTTACTGGGTCTGAATGGACTTATCTTGACCTTAGGGCTCAGGTGATGGGCCTTATGGGCCGGATTTCTGGAGGGAAATCCAGGTCCAACAAACATATTATAGCGTTTATCATTTCAAAAACGCTATAAAAAAGTCATGCATCCGTCAACTATAGCAGAAGCACATAAAACACTATACTAAAGTGCTAATAATGCATGTTTTTCTTGTAGTGAAGATTCATTAGTAGCTTGGCGAAAGTTGGAGATCTTGTTTCTAACAGAAAATGATCTTTGTTTGGTGTAGAAATGGTTGATGAAAGCGGCCTTGTACGCATCCCAAGTGGTGATGGAGTGAGCGGGCAGAGACTTCAACCATCTTGAAGCTTTGTCGCCAAGACATAATGAAAAGAGTTTGCACTTCAAGTAATCGGCTGAAACTCCATTGGATCTAGTAGTGCTGCAAATATCATCTAAGTTTTCTATGTGATCAAGAGGATGTTCGGCTGGAAGGCCATTGAATTGGTTCTGCCTAACCAATGCTATGATTTGAGGCTTGATCTCATAGTCATTCCTTGCAGGAAGTGGTGGATGGATTGGATTCCTATCCGTGAAGAAAGCATCGCAGAGTCGTAGTCTCCGATCGTTTGAATGTTAGCTTGAGGTTTCACATCAACATCCCCAGGAGGATGTTGTGGATTTAAGGGAGGAGGTGGATCTTTTCCTTCTTTGTTAGCTCTAGCTACCTCAGTGTCATGAGCTGCACGAGCTGCGTTCTCGGCCATCTCTTGAGCTTTTTGTCTCCTAAGTATCTTCTCAAGCTTGTCTATCTCCGGATGTTCGACTAGGTTGTCTTTGTTAGACTTCCTAGTCATGCACCTGAAAAGAATCTAGGAAACAAACTAAATCAAAAGGGAAAAACAAAAGCAAAAACAAAATCCAAAATAAAATGAGAATAAAAACTAGAAATTCAAAAGCAAAAACCAGCAAGAAAAGTAAGATTCTAGACTAGATCCTAGTCGAGATTCAAAGGTACTACTGCAGTCCCCGACAACGGCGCCAAAAACTTGATGTGAGTCAGGTTTTACCAAACTCTTTAGACCTCTGCAAGGTTTTACCAAACTCTTTACCAAAACCGTCTAGAACACAGATCACAAATATAAAACCTTTCCACTTTCGAGGGTCCGGTTCCTTTGTTAATTGATGTACTTGCATTTTACATAGTTTTAGTACATCTTTTATGCATCTTTTGCATAGTTTTAGCATCCATTAGCATCATATCTTGTTCCTTTTCTCTTCTTATGCATTCATAGTAGTTTTAGGTTGCATTTGCATACATATGCATGTTTGGTCCTTTGAAATAGGTCTTTTGGAGCATTTGGAGCATATGGGACGTGAGGAGCAAGGAAGGACTTGGTGCATGGACGCAGCTCAACTGGACACGCAAAGGAAGAAGGAGGAAGCCATCTTGAAGACCAGCTCGACCACCTACTCGACCACCGGTCGAGTTCCTCAACTCGACCGGCCAAGCTTCAACTCGATCGAGCTGAGAAGTCAACAGTCAAACCCGAAAAATGTTGCTTCCCCCTTGACTTCCCTTTGACCCTAAACCTAATCTCTCTTGTATTTAAAGGCTCTAAGCCACGAAAAAACCACCAATCTTTAGCTTATTTTTGTTTTAGCTTTTCTTTAATTTATTGTCTTTACTTTTTGCAACCCTAACCATCTTTGTGTTCTTGAGCTCTTGCTTCTTGAACCTAGATCTGGATTTCTTTGTATTTGCACTTGCTTATTTCAATAAAAGTTGTTTATTTCATCTCCTCTTTCTTTGATGTCTTTTCATTGCATTTGATTTGTGTTTACATTCATGTGTAGTGAGTAGTTACCCATTAGGGTTTAAGATGGGCTAGATTAGAGGATCTTATGCTTAATCCTTTTGCTTATGTTCTTAATCTAGAAATCTCTCTCTTTTGGACAAACCTTAAGGCTACATGACCACTACCCCTGGCTTGTATGTCCTTAGGCGATTTCCACATGGAAGTGATGGAAATCGCTTGGAAAAGGTCCACTAAGAGCTCCAATACTCTTGCTCTCGAAATGGAGTTCATAGGGTTGGATGGATTAGTTTGAGCAATGATCCTATGGCCTCCAAGGCTTGATTCTCACTGGCTAACCCCCTGTTTCTGAGATCTTCCTTGGTTGATAGCTTTCACCTTGGGAAAGGGTTAGCTAGGCATTGAGAAGCTCAATATCAAGAGATACCTTGATACAAGTTGTTTAAGAGCAAGATTGATTAAGTATAGTTTCCCTGATTGTAAGACCCTGTCTTAGACCCTAATTCGCATTAGCTTGTTAAAGTCTGCCTTTATCGCTTTTTACTCGACCCTAAACTCGATCGAGCTGGTTACTCTGTTCCCACTCGACTCGAGTCCTTGGTCGAGCTGCTTGCTTACTGCTTTTTTACTTTATTGCATTGCATTTCATTTCATTTAGGTTGTTAGTGTTACCCCTTTATTACTGCTTGACTTTCTTGTGTTTCATATTCTCATAGAGACAATTTCACCCATTTTGGATTGATAACCCTCTTATACTTAATGACTATGATGGTTAAGAGGAATTGATTGATTGTGATTGCATCATACCATCTCATCTTCATTACCACTGTTGCATTCCACCTCATATCATTCATCATTTCATATCACCCACACACAAATCCTATCATCAATTTGGCGCCGTTGCCGATTTGGGTTGAATTTTGTTGCATTTGAGTTTCAAATACACTTGGACGATCAAGCTATACCACCCCTGTTCTTTGTACTGCTGGGTTTTTGTCTCTTTTTGCAGGTGTATGCGAACTCGATCGAGTCGGTCTACTGAAGACTTGGTCGAGCTAGATTACAACGGGTAGAAAGAGTTCAGAGGTCACAGAGGGTACAAGAGGAACCTGAGGTGCTTGTTGCTGATACAATGGATGTACCAGAGGGGAATGGAAACCCTTTGGGCAATGGACTCGGTCGAGCTAGGCAAACTCGACCGATTGGTCTAGGAGATGCTCCAAACCGCCATCAACAGAGACAAGGGATTGTTCCACCACCAGTGCAGAACCACAACTTTGAGATCAAGCTGGGAATGATCAACCTTGTCAGAACAAGATGTTCCATGGATTGCCAAGTGAAGACCCCATTGACCACCTTGATGAGTTTGATAGGCTTTGTGATTTGACAAAGATCAATGGTGTCTCTGAAGATGCCATCAAGCTGAGACTCTTTCCTATGTCTCTAGCTGACAAAGCTCACCAATGGGAGAAGAGCTTGCCCCATGGCACAATCACCACTTGGGATGAATGCAAGAAGGCCTTTCTTGCTAAGTTTTTCTCCACCGGTCGCACAGCCAAGCTTAGAGGAGAGATATCCAGCTTCATCCAGCGAAACAATGAGACATTCGCAGAGGCTTGGGAGAGGTTCAAAGGCTACACAAGTCAGTGCCCACACCATGGATTCAACAATGAATCACTCTCTACTCTTTATAGAGGTTGCTTGGCAAGGTATAGGGAGATGCTGGACACAGCAGCAATGGGAACTTCCTCAATCAGGATGTGGATGATGGCTGGCAGCTTGTGGAGAACATAGCTAACTCAATGGAAGCTATGGAGAAGAGTATGATCGCACCAACCGGAGCTCGACCCACCACTCGATCGAGTCAGACGAAAATTGAGAAAAGATGTTAAGGCATTGAATGAGAAGTTGGATAAGCTGATCTTAGCTCAGTCCACAATGAAGAAAGTCAACTTTGTGTCTGCTGAAGAGATGGAACCAGTCCAAGAAGGGGAGGATACACAATTTGCTGAGGTATGCTACATGAGCAATGGGCAAGGAGGTTACAACAAAGGATACTATAATTACAAGTCCAACCCTGCCATGTCATACCGCAACACTGATGTTGCTAACCCTCAGGACCAAGTCTATCCTCAACAACAAGCAAGCTCGATCGAGTCAAGTGCCACAACATGGGTATGGTCAAAAGAACAATTACCAAGGACCACAAGGCACTTTCCTGGACAACAAATGAATATCCCACCAGGCTTTCCCCACCAACCGCCCCAGCCTGCACCTTCACAAGAGAATGAGCTCAAGGCAATGCTAAAGCAACTACTTCAAGGGCAAGCTGATGGGGTAGTGGACACAAGCAAGAAGCTAGCTGAAATAAACTCTAAGATCGAGAACCTCAACACAAGGGTTTACTCTCTGGAGAATCATGCTTCTTCTGTTGCTGCTGCTACAAAGCAAGGACAACTACCTGGTAAAGCTATTCAGAACCCCAAGGAACAGTGCAAGGTCATCTTCACTCAAGAAGGACTTGTTGAAGAAGAGGATCAAGAAAGAGGTCATTGAAGATTTTTGTTTACTGCTGAATGATGAGAGATTGTTGCTGCTGAGGCTCCTGGAGTCCAGATTGATCAACCAGAAGTGCATGCACCTACTGTGGCCATTCACACTTCACCAGTTGAGCTCGCACAACAAGCTCGATCGGCAGCTCGATCGAGTCCAACTCTAGCTCGATCGAGTCCGACCTCATCTGTCCCAAACCGATTTTGCTTGATCCTTACCAACCGGTTGCCCTTCCTCATCTCGCCTACTTAGTCAAGGTCACAAGGAAGTGATTCACAAGTTCAGAAGAGATCTCAGTGGGATTGGAATTGAGTTGCCTCCTATGGAAAGCATGAGTGAGGCATTTGAGCAAATGAAGTTGATTCAAGGATGTTATGGCTAACAGGATAAAGTTTCAGAGCTTCTGGAGATGTCTACTCACAATCAACCTGCTTACTTCACCTACTTTCTTACCAAAGGTGAAGGATCAAGGGAAATTCACTCTCCCTTGCACACTTGGGCATCTTGAGCTTGACAATGCCTTGGTGGATTCTGGTGCAAGCATCTAATCTGCAACTTTCAATGCAATCTTTTCTTGGTGTGTTCAAGAACTATCACTTGAAAATAGGAGAATGCATCATCCAAACTGATCTTACTGTCATGGAGATGGAAGAAGAGAAGGATCTACCTCTGCTATTGGGAACCCCATTCCTTAGCACAGTTGGCGCTTCAATAGACTTTCACAAGCAAGAAGTGATTCTTCACAAGGTGAATAGTTTGGTGTCTTATCGCTTACAGCCTAGAGGTTCAGACTTTTGTGCCACAATTGAAAGCACTCCTCTAAGTTCCAAGCCTCATGAAGTTACAAAGATTGTGAAGAAAGGGTTAGAAAAAGAGCCAAGAGTTGTGAGAGATAAGGTTGAGAAGGATCAAGAGTTGATAAGGGACCAAGGATTGAGAAACCACGCCTTGAGAGGCCAAGAGTTGAGAGACCACGATCTGAAGGCCACGAGCTGATAGACTTGTTCAAGCACCATGTGTCTTGATGAGGAAAGCCTCCAAGCTTTGTTTGATGAGCCACTAGGAAGCGCTCAAAAAGAAGGGGAGGATGCAGCCTCAAAGGCACTTGTGGGAGAGAAAAGAAAGAACCCACCAGCTCAGGTTTCCTCAGCCAAGCCATCTCAGCTCAGAATGACCTTGTTCCCCACCAAGTTTGAAAATGGAAAGATTGAGTACAAGATAAGGTACAAGGGGAGATCAAACCATTCTCTAGAGCCAAGGCCTTGGTCACTTCAGAGCAGTCCAGGGATCCAACCAAGCTAAAGGAGCTTCTGTCTCAAGTCCTCACTATCACCCTTGATGGTGGGACTAGCTCAACCAATGCCTAAGAGGTAAAGGTCAAGCTATGGGACCTTAAAACAAGCTCACTTGGGAGGAAGTCCCATGACTATCCTTGTACATACTTTTTAATGCAATTTCTATCTAGTTTTGTGTCTTAACGTTTCAGGAATAATTAAGTTTAGGTGACAAGAAGCTAGCTCGACCGACAGCTCGATCGAGCTAGAAACAAGGGTAACTCGATCGAGTTCCACAACTCGTCCGAGGAAGGTAATTTTTGAATTCAAATTTTCCAACCGTTTCCTTGGTCAAGGAGTGGGTCCCACAATAAATTTTGGTCCCCCACTTCCCAAAATCGATCAGAAAAACCCTTACCTTTTGTCCCCTCTTTAAACCCTCTTTTAATCCTAACCACACATCTCAAACACTCCCTCTTCCCCATAACTCGATCGCGCCCCCTTCTCTCTTTATCTCACACTCAAAATTTCTGAAAACACCCATCTCTCTCATCTCTCTAAGAAAATCCGAAAATCTCTCTTCATCCCTTGAGTTTTTGCGATTTTCCTTGTTTTATCTTAAATTGCTTTAGTTCTAGCTACTGTTCTAGAACATCATCATTCAAGCAAGGTATGAACCCTAAACCCTCAAGTCTATAGTTTTGATTCTCTCTTTCTCTTATTGCATTTTGTTCTCTTGAATTTTTGATTGCATGTGTCCCTTGTGGAGTTTGTTCTTGAAGTATTGCATTCATGTTTATCTTCTTGCTTTAAGAATTGTGAACCTCACCTCACCTCTGTTTTTCATTTAAACTTGTTGCATGTGCTTAATCCTTTGAATTTGAGTTTGGTATTGGCTAGGATGCTTTAATCTTCACTAGAATTGCTTATTGTTCCAAGTTCTTGATGTTCTTGGTTCGATTTGATTGTTTAAGCATCCTTTCCAGCTCTTAATACTTGATTTAGGTTCGGTTTGCTCTGTTTTCACCTAGCTCGATCGAGTTTGTCACTGAGTTTTTTGACTCGATCGAGCTGGGTGTCGAGCTGACCGAATCAATCATTGCAATGCTAATTCTTGGGACGTTTTCTGAATTTCAGGAACCCTAGTTGTAAGAGCAACATAACAAGGATGACAAATATTGAGGGAAGCCGTGCTTCACAAAGGAGAATGGTGGACGGAGAAACAAGCAATGCAATTGAAAGGAGGCGAAAGTTGCAAGCCGATTTGGAGGGAATGCTTCAAAGGGTTGACGATTCTGATGCAGAGGGATACGTTTAGTCTGAATTGTAGTCTTCGATTGAAAGATTGAGGGAAGAGAGAACGACCAAGAAGAGGAAGTACCCCATAAGTAGTGAAAGTGAAGAAGGAGAGTTTGAGATTGGGGTAAACATTGGAAGAGAGGAGAGTGATGAGTCTGAAAGTGAAGAAGGAGAGGAGGTCAATCAAGAGGTTGATGAAAGTGGGCATGAGAGTAATGATGATGTGCCCATGGAGGAAGTTGAGCCACAACAAGACGAGGATGAACTCCCCATGTATCAAGAGCACTACAATGCTCTCTTCTCCATGGATTTTGTGGAAACCAAGTACCCTCATGACAAAACAATGAAGGCACTTGGGATCTTCAAGGATGTGGAGTTAGTGCTCAAGAACATGCACTTGGCCCAGTTCTTCTCTCATAGGATGGAGTCCTACAAGGAGTTGACTTGTGAGTTCCTAGCATCGATGAGGTACCACGAATATGATGAGCTCGATCGAGCTGAGCTAGATCAAGGTTGGGGATGGATCACCTTCTTGGCAAAAGGAGAGAAGAAGATGGTCACCTTGAGGCAGCTTGAGATACTGTTTGGGTTCACATATGGAGAAGGAACTCATTGGGATATCAAGGAGGATGAGCTCCAAAGGGTTTGGGCAACAATCGCTGAAGGAAAGTACTCTTCCTCAAGGTCCAAGGCTGCTCAGATTAGGAGTCCTGTGCAGAGATATGTGCACAAAGCCCTTGCCAACACCTTCTTTGCAAGGAAAGCAACATGGACAATCAATGAATGAGAAGTCAAACTCCTTGACATGGGGATTAAACCCATCATCTAACGCACAAGTGATAGGAAGAAGATCAGAGGAGACAGAGTACTACACGCAGGAAACCTCATGCCCCTCCTTGATCAACTCCTCTCCTACAAGACCACTGCCTATAGCACTCGATTTCAAGGAGGAAGAAGGTTGAGCGTTAGAGGGATTATTACACCAATCCTTTGCGCAGCTGGGGTCCAACTAAACAAGAAGAAGTCAACTCCAGCTGGTTGGATGGACATCAAGTTCTGCAAGACCAACACTGTAACACCCCCGACTCGATCTACACATAGACAAAGCCGGTGAGCGTCACAATTTGCCGAGGTTTGCTGGATAGGCCGTCCCGGACGAAGAACACATCACAGTCCAGGTCAGCCCGTCCCGCGAGCTCGACCCTCTCGGCCACGGCCTAAGGCTTTTCAACCCGTACCAAAGCCGAGAGTTGTGTTAGCCCGGACAAAGCTAATATCAGATGAAACCAGTTGATATAGAAAATAAACTTTATTAATCTATATATGGTTTCTCAAAACATCAGAAATACATCACATTCGAGCCTAATGCCCAAAACCCACACTACATAAATTCAAAAGCGTTTATTTTACAAAGGCAAGACAAACTACGCTGGCGGCCTAACGTCCTTGCTCCAACTACTGGTTTCCTGCAAAAGAGAGTGGGGGGTGAGCGCTAATCGCTCAGTGAGTTGTAGCTCCCACTAACAAGCAATAATAATCCCACCCAAAAACCCAAAATAACACACAACAAGCAATGTTGCTATAACCCCTAGACTGACCGCACAACAATCAAACAAGAACATGCACGATCAATCAGAGATTATAAACAACAACAATCAATCAATGCTCAAACATGCAATAAATAAACTTAACATCACACTCAACCACTTTCTCTTTCGCGCGTTCGGTACTTCCCGTGAACACCTATCTCACAGCCACACAGGCACGCGAGATAGAACATCACTACCCGAGTTCCATCTCCCAGACAGTCACATCCCGTTGGATGCCGTTTCCACGGTTCACAACCCAAACGAGTTCTGTCTCCCAGATGGTCACGTCCCGGGCTGTCTATTCCATACTCGGCCATAGGCAGCAACCCCGTCTCTCCGAGTATTCTCATTAGTCAATACATTGACTACATGAGGTGGAATAGTACTCGGCCATAGGCTGCTATCCCGTCTCTCCGAGTCTTCCCACCTAGCCAGTCCATTTGCTAGGAAGGGGTACCAAAGAAGACCGAACCGCCAACATCAACATCAAACAAGTAACCATGTAACCTCACATTCAATATGATAACAATAAACAAGATCTAACAAAGAACCACAAACAAAGATCAATCAATCAAAAATCAAGCAATCATAACATAGAACCACACAATCATCAAGCAATAAATCAAACAATCAAACAATCAACCAATCAACCAATCACACAATCTAGCATTCCCTAACAAGCAATCAAACATCACCACAACTCACAGTGCTTTCGGCTGAAGTTTCTAGCCTAGGTTTACTACTCTGGGTTTACCGCTGAAACCGCCGGCTTGCCCTAAGCTTCTGCCCGAACGCTCCCTCTCTTCTTCTTCTTCTTCTTCTCTTTCTTCTTCTTCTCCTCCTCCTCCTCTTTCTTCTTCTTCTGGGCGTCCTCCCTCTCACTCTATTTCTCTCTCTACTTTCTCTCTCTTTCTTTCTGATTTTGGTGTGGTTTGGAAATGAGGCCAAGGCTCCTATTTATAGGCTTGGAGGGAAGCTGGTGGTGGATCTCCTTGCTTCAGAATGGCGACACCTCTCCTGTGTGCAACCAATGGCGTGAAGACATTCCTCCAGCAGCTTCCATCCATCATTATCCTTCCATGACAATGGCACCTTCCATTGGTCCATTTTCCAAGCTGCTGGGTAGCTAAACCTGATTGGTCATTCAAGATGATCATCACTTCCTTGATCCTATCTTCCTGGAATGAGTGGCTCCATCCCATTGGCTCCTTCCTCAAGCTGCTGGGTGCTTAGACATGATTCGTCCAACACATTTTCGTCCATTATGAGCAGCTGAGTGCTCACACTTGATTAGTCCAGCACAATTTTGTCCTATGTAGCTGCTGGTGTCGCCTCCTTACTGGTTTAAACCATTCTTATCATCTCCAAGTAGCTGGTGTTGTCATCCCATTGCTCCATCCGCCTCTTTCCTTTCGAGGAGGGTTTAGTATGTTTTCTTTTCCGGAGGGTTTTTTCCCCGTCGTGCTTGAGAATTAAAATTTTCTACTTTAATCCTTTCGTCAGTTGCATGATTTTGAGCTTTTACTTAGCTACTTGGAAATGTCCGGAAATTCCTTATCCCGGTCATACCGTTCTTGAAACAGCTTTATCTTCTCTTCGTCTTCGGAGTTGTTCATCCCATCCGGACCATTGGGATTGGAATTGTGCGGGAATAATTCAGCTCTGATGTGGGATATTATAAACACCCTCATCGATCACAAGGAGTTGGATGGGAAATATCAATTCCTATTCAAACACCCCATAGCTGGTCACTCCAAGATGCTCCTGCCCAACAATAGCTTCACAACAGTGGTAGAAGGCAACAACATTGACTTCAGCCCCCCATTACACACGTTAGTTGGGCATGAGGATGAACCCCTCTGTTGTGACTGCTCACAAGAGGTTGGACTTCTCCAAAAGTTCAACAAGTGGCAAGGGAAAGCCATAAAGACGATGAAAAAGTCCATGGACAAAATGGTGAGCAAGATTAAGAGTTTGGAGAAGAAGGTCTCTGGTTCTTCATCCAAGAAGAAGAAGACACCCATGGCTTCTCCTTTCCCTAGGAGTCGATCCCTCCTCACAACACCAAGGGGACTCCCTGCCCAAGAACCTCACAGAGCCTCGTCCTTTGAGCCAAGAGAAGGAGGTAGTCCACATAGGAGAAGGAAGAGTTCCAGAGCCCGACGCTCCAACTCGACCAGTGGACTCGATCGAGTCCAAACAGAGGAAATTCAACTCGGTCGAGCTGATGGTTGAGTTGACCTGGAGGAGCCAGTATTCGAGGATCCTGGATTTGATTAATCCAGCACCTTACCAGGACTATCCCCAGAGCAGAGAATCCATACGGCCGGTTCGAGCGAGCCAGGTTCCACCAAGGCCAAAGCAGCCACACCCACTTCGAGGATAAGAAGAAGAACCGCAAGCTCGATCGAGCTGCATGGAGATGGTCGAGTGGAGTGCTCCTGATGGCCGATTGCCCTCTCCAGACCATGACCTTGCCTCCCAGTTCTTTGGGGGGCACTAAGGTATCAAACACCACACCCTTGTATATACCATTCATTTTCTTGCAGTTTTCTTTATTTTCCTTGGTTTTTGCCTCTTGAATCCTTCAATGATTTCTCTCACACAAGGGACTGTGTGATTTAAGTTTGGGGGAGGGTTCAAGAGATGATTTAACCTTGTTTATTTTGTTCTTAGTTTTTCATACATCCATTTGCATAGTAAAACCAAAAAAAAATCATAAAAGTTTCAAAAAATTCAAAAATATTTTCATCTTTTTGCATTCATATTTGTTAGAATTGTTTTGATTGCATCATTCATCTCTGTTTTAGTTGTGCATTGTTGATTTGATTTTAAGAATTTGTTCATCATTTGCGATTCATTAAGTGCCCAATTTCTAGATTCTTTTGTGCATTAGGGTGAGATTGATTGAACTACAAGAAACCATGTTTAACTTGATCATATCGCTGCATGCACATCTCATTCAACCATTGCTGTGATTTGATGCATTTCCCTATCTATTTGAACCATAACTTGATCTTTAATTACCAATGCTTGCATTTGATTTCAACTCATGGCTACCACATACATATCTGGACATTCTTTGCCTATTTCATATCTCTCTTGCTTGTCCAGATAGCTGATCTCCATCTTTGAGACAGTTACCACACCTTAAACCTAAGCGTTTTCATTTCAAACCTCCCCTTATTATCTCTTGTGCGAATTGTGAGACCTTTTCTTGGCTTTGCTTAGCATAAGGTGTTGTGTTTAAACCGGCAGGGGCAGTAGTTCTAGTTATCTAGTCCTCTTGGGTTTAGGGTTTAGGGAAATAAGGGGAGGTTTGAAATGAAAAAGACCCTCTAAACCCTAAACCCTAAACCCCAAACACTCAAAAAAGACCCTCTTTGTCTCTTAACCCATAAACCCTTAAACCAAATGAGTTGATTTTGGTTCACAATTTTACTTAATAAATGTTAAAGGGATTTGCTGATTTGAATGCATTGTTTGAGTGACTGTGAAGTGGGATTGATGTTGATAAACATGGTTAAAATCTTAATGAATATCTCTCACCTTGTTCATTCTAGAATCTCTAAGTTGGACATTTAGCAATTCGCTTTTGAGTTCATGTTTTAAGGAAGAATCAACTTGTTTTCAAACCTCATCTCTTTCTTGTTCTATTTGTTTGCTTGAGGGCAAGCAAAGGTCAAGTTTGGGGGTGTTGATGTACTTGCATTTTGCATAGTTTTAGTACATCTTTTATGCATCTTTTGCATAGTTTTAGCATCCATTAGCATCATATCTTGTTCCTTTTCCCTTCTTATGCATTCATAGTAGTTTTAGGTTGCATTTGCATACATGTGCATGTTTGATCCTTGAATAGGTCTTTTTGGAGCACTTTGGAGCAATTGGGACGTGAGGAGCAAGGAAGGACTTGGTGCATGGATTCAGCTCAACCGCACATGCTTAGGATGAAGAAGGAAGCCATCTTGAAGTCAGCTCGACCATCTACTCGACCAACCGGTCGAGTTCCTCAACTCGACCGGCCAAGTTCAACTCGATCGAGCTGCGGAGTCAATGGTCAAACCCGAAAAATGTTGCTTCCCCTTTGACTCCCCTTTGACCCTAAACCTAATCCTTCTTGTATTTAAAGGCTTGTGCCACGAAAAAGAAACAATCTTTAGCTTATTTTGTTTTAGCTTTTCTTTAATTGTATTTTTACTTTTTGCAAAACCTAGCCTCTCTTTGTGTTCTTGAGCTCTTGCTCTTGAACCTTAGATCTAGGCTTATCTTTTGTATTTTGCACTTGCTTATTTCAATAAAAGTTGTTTATTTCATCCCTTTTCTTTTATGTCTCTTTCATTGCATTTGATTGTGTATTTTTATGTGTAGTGAGTAGTTCCTTAGGGTTTAAGATGGGCTAGACTAGAGGATCTTATGCTTAATCTTTTGCTTATGTTCTTAATCTAAAATCTCTCTCTTTTGGACAACCTTAAGGCTACAACCACTATCCATGGTGTATGATCTAGGCGATTTTCCTCATGGAATGTTGGGAAATCGCTTGAAAAGGTCCACTAAGAGCTCCAATATGCTTGCTCTCGAAATGGAGTTTATAGGTGTTGGATGGGTTAGTTTGAGCAATGATCCTACTGCCTCTAAGGCTTGATTCTCACTGGCTGACCCCCTGTTTCTGAGATCTTGCCTTAGATGATAGCTTTCACCTTGGGAAAGGGTTAGCTAGGCTTGAGAAGCTCAATACCAAGAGATAGCTTGAGTACAAGTGGTTAAAGAGCAAGATTGATTAAGTATAGCCTTCCCCTAGTCGCAAGACCCTGTCTTAGACCCTGTCTTAGACCCTAACCTTCGCATTAGTATTAAAGTTCGTATCTTTATCGCTTTTCCTCTGTTTTTACTCAACTCGACCCTCAACTCGATCGAGTGGTTACTCTGTTCCACTCGATCGAGCCCTTGGTCGAGCTGCTTTCATTTACTGTTTTCTTTTACTTTCTGCATTGCATTTCATTTCATTAGGTTGCTAGAGTTACTTCCATCATTTTACTGTCTGCTTGACTTCTTGTGTTTGCATAAATTCATAGAGCAACATCTCACCCTTATGGATTGATAACCTCTTATACTACATCGACTATGATGGTTAAGAGGAATTGATTGATTGTGATTGCACCATACCATCTCATCTTTATTCACCACTGTTTGCATTCCACCTCATATCACTTACATCATTTCATATCATCTCATATCACTCACACACAAATACTATCATCAATTTTTGCATTCCACGCTGACCGCACCATTTTTTTTTTTGTTTTTTTGAAACTAAAGAACTTTTATTGAAATAAGCAAATGCAAATACAGAAAGATAAGGCCTAGATCTAAGGTTCAAGAGCAAAAGCTCAAGAACACAAAGAGAGGCTTAGGTTTTGCAAAAAGTAAAAATACAATTAAGGAAACGCTAAAACGAATATAAGCTAAAGATTGTTGTCTTTTTCGTGGCCACAAGCCTTTAAATACAAGAAGGATTAGGTTTAGGGTCAAAGGGGAGTCAAAGGGGAAGCAACATTTTTCGGGTTTGACCATTGACTCCGCAGCTCGATCGAGTTGGAACTTGGCCGGTCGAGTTGAGGAACTCGACTGGTTGGTCGAATAGATAGGTCGAGCTGACTTCAAGACGGCTTCCTTCTTCATCCTAAGCTTGTGCGGTTGAGCTGAATCCATGCACCGAGTCCTTCCTTGCTCCTCACGTC